AATGACCTGATTTCAGTAAAAAAACAAGCACAGACCCTTAGAGGCCATAACGGTGCAGTGGATGACTCCCTGGCACTTAACTGGCCCCTCAGAGTGCCTTGAATTCAGTCAGTCTCTGCTGGTCAGTTGAGAGTGCGGCTGGATGCTGAATTCAGACACATGAACTTGTCTCTCTGGGTAAGTGTAGTCCTGAGCTCATTGTGTGCTAGAGGAAAGGGCTTCTGGGTGATAGAGGAGACTGACGGCAGTGTTCTGATAAGGGGACAGTCACCTTGCTGCCGGGAGCCCAGATCTGCCACAGTGGCACCTTCATGAGGGACTGGTACAGTGACAATAAGGAACTATGGTCCAAAGGCCAGAACCAATACAACACTGTTGATGAACTCCGTGGAGGCAGAAAACCTGAGACAGCATTTCAGACCACGTGTTGGTCTTCTCAACATTATCTGGGTTTGGAAAGCCCAGCCTGGTGCTTCTCCCTGGAGGCAGCCCCATCATGCCCTGTCACCCCAATTACCTCTCCTGATCCTGCCATGCTGTCTTTTCCACCTGGTGGATTTGGGCAGGTTTCTAGAGCCCCCAAGGGTCTGCCCCTGCCCTGTGACTCACTCGAGACGTGCTCTCTACTACAAAGACCCATGGGGAGCTTCACTCCCAGTGGTTGCCACGCCCTGCTGTGTGGGGCAGCTGTGCTGGCTCTGACTATCACCCCTGGAGCCTGTTCTGAGGCTGCAGCAGGCCATGCCCCATCCATCATTCCTGCAACGCAAGACAGCCAGTGGCCCACAGATCCCTGCTGGGGTTGGCAGCTCCCACCCCTTCCCTCCTCACCCATGAGGAGCCCTGACCCCTTCCTGTGGGGCCCAGCGAAATGACAAATTCATTACTCGATTTACAAGCTTGTCTGGTGGGGAACCAGCATCCTGCAAGCCCCGAGCATCTGTGGGTTTGGCGTCCACCATTGCTTTGCTAAGATGAGCAGAATCATCAGATAAGAACCTCAGGGGAGTGACACCCCCGCACCCTTTGGGCAGCCCAGCTCAACCTGAACACCAGGAGGGGCTTTCAAGAGGTCGTGGGGGTGGGGACATCACAGCCACATTATCATACTACTCCTGGCTCCGTCTGACCCTCCCAATGTCATCAACAGTAGAGAACAGATGCGAGCGTGACCTCTAGACAGGAGATGGGACAGCTGCAAGTGTGACCTCTAGACAGGAGATGGGACAGCTGCGAGTGTGACCTCTAGACAGGAGACGGGACAGCTGTGAGTGTGACCTCTAGACAGATGGGACAGCTGTGAGTGTGACCTCTAGACAGGAGATGGACAGCTGCATTTCCTGAGAGGTCCGTCTCAGCTCTGGGTCTGAATTTACACTTAACAGTTTATTGGCAAATTGAGTCAACAGGTGCCGACACTTACGGCAACAAATGCAGGTGGACTTTAAGGGGCAGAGGGGGAAACACAAAACTGTGCTCATAGGGCTGGTGTTTAAGCCCGTCCAGTAGGGCCTCTAAGAGACCCTATAAAACCCTAGAGGCAAGGTACTGAGACTCAGGCAGGGACCCAGAAAAGGTAGCTCTGGCCGTGGCCACAGCCACAGTGATCGTTGGGCATTTGTATCCGGGGGGCACTAGCCATTGCTGGCAAACAGGAAGGCTGCTCCCTGAGGTATTTTAAAGCCAGAGGCTGCTCCAAATAAGAGACAGCCTCTAGCACCCTGAGAGGCACAGGGTGACTGACTGGGTGAGGAATGCCCTGCCCTGGCTTCCAGAGAGGCTGGTCCTGTTGCCAGTGGAACCATTTTACTGGTTAGGGTGTGGCCTGTCTGTGGCATCTTGGGCAGCTGCTGATGCCGCAGTGACCGACGGATGTGGCCTCCCCCAGCAGGCTCCCCTCAGGACCTACTGTGGTTCCCTGGGGGGAGGTGGAACATCTGGGCAAGCGGAGACACCTGGTAAAGTGGACATACTTGGTGAAGGGGAACACCTGGTGAAGCCAGGGATGCCCAGGGACACAGGCACAGAGAGAGGCCTTGAGGCAGCTGGAGAGAGGTAGGCCGTGGACATCTCCAAGGATTTGGGAGGAAGAGCCTTGTGTAGAGGAATGAGACGTGCCCTAACCACCTTTGCCACAATGTTGTCCATGGAAGTTGCCTCAGGCCTTTCATCTTCTCCCCACGTCTCTCGCACCGCCCGCTGGCAAACGCTCGCGGCAAAACAGAAACTGACGTAGCTTCCGAGTCCCTGAGAGTCTTGACCCATCAACAATGTGATCTGGGCCCAGATGCAAATTCTCTCGCTTTGTAAAGCCACAGCCGAGGCAACACAGTTTAAGAGGAAGCCAGTGGGGCTTAGGGTCCAAGGGCTGGGTTGCATCTTTGTCATTTCCCAGGAGCATGACTTTGGGGAAAATTACTTACATACTCTGGGCCTCTTTCAATAAAGTTTTTATAAGACTGAAATGAGCTGGTGCAGAACGGAAGGCTGTGCCCATGGTGAGGGGCGAGGAAACGCTTTGTTGCCTAGCAGGGGCGCCAGCCTGGAGCTTCCAGCCTCACCCCTAGCCATCACTCATGTGGTGCTGGGCGAGTCACCTTCTCTGAACCTCAGTTCTGTCACCTACATGCCGGGGCTCTGGGGACCATATGAGATAATGTGGGCCCAGTGCCTAGTGCAGATGCTGTGCGGGATGGTGCCTGGTCCTTGGTGGCTGCAACAACAACTAGGATAATGCAGATCTAGGGGTGCACAGCAGCCCAACACAGAAGACTGCTGTGCTGTGCAGCCACCGAGGCCTAGCGGTCGCAGGCCGGGCCACGCAGTGTCTACCTGTCAAGTGAGCTGCCGGCCACGTGCACTTCACTCACTTGTCCTCTGGCAGGCTTGGCCTTGACCCTCGCACACACGTGACCGTCCACACCAGTGACGCTGTGTGTGGTCTTGGTGCTGGTCCTTGGGAAAGACTTGGCCGAACTTCAGAAAGTACAGAGAGGGCTGAGCTGTTTTAAACTGAGGCTTTCTACCTGGAAAGACAGGGCCAAGAGGAGATGGGAGGAGGTGTAGAAGAAGCCAGGGTGCCTGGGCCCTCAGGGTGGGGCGGTGAGGTGGGGGGACAGGACATACAGGGCTGATGATACTTCTTAACCCAATCCAAAGACACGGAACTCTTGATTGGGTACCTCTTGAACTTAAAATGGACCATTTTAGGACAAAGACAAAGAAGCCATTTTACACAATGATTCATGATGAATAGACCCTGAGAGAGTGGGTTGAAAAGATGAGAGGACACTAACGAGCCCTGGGATGGACCACCCAGGGCACTGAGAGCAACCTCGGCCCCCCACCTCCTGCACACCTGCCTGGGCAGGTGCTGGACTCTGAGCCCATGTGTTTACCAGCAGGCCTGGGAAGTGGGCCTCATTTATCATTCTCTCCTAGAGATGAGGTTCAGAGAAGGGCACCCATCCACCCAGAATTACACAGCTAGAAAGTTGTACAATGGGATTCAGATCCATGCTCTCTATCACCAGGTGACTCTGACTCCTGCAGGGAGGTTTGGGCTGCTTCTAGATACGCTGCCTAGAGTACATTTCTGGAGCATCCAATAGAGACAAATTCTAGATGGATCTTGGATTTGACCCAGGAAGATAGTGCTAATAACTTCAAGAATATTCAGTGTTTAAGGTCAAGGGGGAAAGTGCCAGGTGAGGGAGATCCCACCTTATTCCAGGACAGTGGTTCTGCATGTTGGAATCAGCAGGCTGCATCCTTGATCAGTCAAATCAGGATGTCTGAGGCTGGGACCCAGGCAGCAGGAATGTTGTAGGTGCTGTGGGTGGAACCACTGTCCTAGAGAGATGGGCTCTGTGTCCCCCAAGGGTGTTAGGATAACAACGTTTATTAGCGGGGTTCAGGGGAAACTTCAGCAGCCAGGGAATTGTGATTCTCTTCCTAGACACCCTGCTACTGTTTCAGCAGCTGAGTCCTGGGTGGATCTGCAGTTATTTAAACTATATTTAAACGTGAAAACTATAAATGAAACCCAAGAATTGATATTAATCAGAAAGGAAAGTCTTAAGCAAAAAAGCTAGAAGATAATTTTTGTTAAATAATAAACACTCATAAAACAGCAGTGAAATGGTATTAAAATGTCTGTGATTACTTATTTCTCAGCATTCATCTCATAACAAGCAGCATGAAGCAATAGTTGCACTTAAAAAAAATGACAAGAAAATAGCTATTCTTTTAGTCAACAGAGAAGGTTCATCTTCTTTTTAAGATCACTAGTGTCGTTGCTTATCACCAGGGTGAGTGTCCACACAGGCCTCTTTATGCTGAGCTGGTGTCCACAGCTCCTTTGCTTGGACCTCCTGGAGCAAGCCATGGGGTCCTGGAAAGAGTCTGGGGAGGGACTGTGCCCTGCTCCCCCGCCAGATCACAAGGCCCCAAGACTGCATATTGCTGCGTGGTGGCTGCTGAGTTTGGACACCTTCTAAAGGAGGCCCCATGTTTCTAGGCTGGGGACAGCATGGAGGGAATGAGACACTGGGCCTGGGGACAGGTCCCACGCTCTTCTGGCTTTGCATTCTCAGGGCTGGACCCGTCTGAAGACCAGCTGGGGTCCTGCCAGCAGCTCTTTTGTCTCTCTTCCTGCTCAGGCCCATTTTCTTCCTGCAGGGAAGGCACAGGGACTGGGGGAATGCCAGAGGAGTGAGGCAGGGCCACAGACAGAAGAGTGACATGTCCCCTGCCCTCTACCTATTGCACTGTATTCCATAAAAAATAAACACACTTTGTACTGTTTGTATATTGCTACTGCTATGGCGTTCCCGGCACTGGCAGGCTGCAGTTCACCAGAATCCACCCAGAGACAGCCTTGCGGGTCAGGATCTTTGGAGCTTCCATTTGGAAGGATTAGCACTGCCCACCTTCCTCATGCTCTACACAGTGCTGTGAAAAGGAAATTAAAGGGCAAAAACAAAAGAAATCCATGGGTACAAAACTCCAGGGCTTTATGGAGTCACTTGGCAATAATGTATACTGTACAGCATCACACAGGTGTGTCTCCCTATGTGTCCACCCTTGCCAGCTCTGCTTTCTCTGCATCCAACTGGCCTCAGCTCTTCCCCTGGGCGCCTGGAGGAAGCTCATAGGTGGTTGTTCTTGGAGAGGTAGGCGATGAGGGCCACAGCCACACCCACGTAGATGCCAGTTCCGATTGTGATGGAGAGCACAGCCAGGAACAGGGCCCGCCGGGAACTGGTGCTGGCCTGGTGGAAGTCCCCCTTGGCCACGGCTTTGTTGGTCTGCAGTGTTGGAGAGGAAGGAGGGAGAAGAAAACGGAAGTCAAGACGAGCATGTTGAAACAAATGACGTGGATGCACGGCTCATCTCTGGCTCCCTTCCAACCTTGGGCTTAACTGATTCCAGAGAGAGAGGACTTGCCCAGGAGTGCTCCTGGTGATGGCAGCAGCTCTCTGATCAGCAAGAAAGGAGTGGGGGGCTGTTGCTTATCGTTGCTCCCCCACACTGCAAGGCAAAGCTGAAAAAAACCAAAAAAAAGCCCCAGGGAATACCCATGGCCAGCAGTAGCCCAGCTGCGCATCACCAATGCAGTCCTGGGTCTCGGGCACCAGTATGGGAGGGAAGGGATAGATCTTACACCTCCAGTGCCATCTTTTCTACCCAAGAATGACATTTTATTTCATTTGAATGCCACAATTTTCTAAAGTTTGTTTGCACTTCCCTCATTTAATCTTTACACACAGTACTGGTGTGGGGAAGGAAACTGTTGTTCTCCTTTTCCAGTGAGGAGACTATGGCATAAGATCATTAAATCAGTTGCAGGATACTTGAGACTTTACTCTTCAGCTGGTGGCCATGGAATCATGCATTCCTTGACCGTCTCCCTCCCTTGCCATAGCTGCAGATGGTAAAATTCATCCATCAATAAAATAATTTGCTATAAGACCAATACCTATATTTCTGATCACTTAATTGCATAATGAGCTTGGTTTGATAAGATTCACGTTTCATGAGGTCGATAGGAACGTGGAGGTTTTGGATGTCACATCTCATTCGGTATTTTGTGGTAGATCCCATATACCCATCCCCAGCCCCTTCCTCTGCTGTCCCACTCCACTAGTGAGATTAGAATCTTGACACCAGGAGTCTGGGAACTGTTATGTGACTCAGCTGTAACCATCACGGAGGAGCCATCTGAGTAAAATGGCTCATCTGGCAGATGAGGGTGGAGGCTCCCATGGCGTGTAGGCCCCAGGGGCGTCATGTGATGCCGAGGAGGGCTAACCCCGAGCTGGTGGGGATTCTTTGTGGTCAGGGCAAAGGCAGAGGCCACTGCCCAGTAGAATGTCCTAACTCGATCTTATGACCCGTCTCCAGACACCAGATCCTCACCAGATCCCACTTCCATGTGTCGTCAGTGGTATTTCTACATTTTGCAGGAAGGTGTGGGAGATGGCATATTGTTTACTCATACTAAAAGACACCAATGCCGGGGCCGGCCCAGTGGTGCAAGCGGTTGGTTGTGTGCGCTCTGCTGCGGCGGCCCGGGGTTCGCCGGTTCAGATCCCAGGCACGCACCGATGCACTGCTTGGCAAGCCATGCTGTGGCGGTGTCCCACATAAAGTGGAGGAAGATGGGCACGGATGTTAGCCCAGGGCCAGTCTTCCTCAGCAAAAAAAGAGGAGGATTGGCAGATGTTAGCACAGGGCTGATCTTCCTCACAAAAAAAATAAATAAATAAATAAAAAACACCAATGCCTTGGCAATGGACCACAAAGGGTCAGGCTCAGAGATAACTTGTGAAATGAATTTCCATCCTCTGCAGTCCTGACCTCGACCTGATGAAATCTGGAACTCTGTGTCGGGTTGAGAAGCGACTCTGATCTGCTTCCTGGCCTCCCTCTCTTTTCCCTAACTTCTGGATCTTGAAGGCCAGTTTTTATATCTTCCTCCTCCAGTTTTTGGCTTGGAAGCTAGCTTGGGAGTTCACTGCAGACAATTTTTGATGAAGCAGAGCTAAGGGAATGCAAAATAGGAAGTCTCCTAGGACAACAGTAATTAATTCTTAATTAGCTGAGTTTCATTTTATCTAGCAGCGCTCCCAAACACTCCAATGCCCTATGACATAATTCATAGTAATGGCCCTTCCTCGGCCAAGCAGCTATCCTCCATTAGGATGGGGCTTCGCTTCTCTCTCTGCCAGCATCACCACCCTTATCTAGTCTGCCCTGGGCTCTGCTGCAGGAGAGGAAGCAGAGATACAGAGAGGCAGGCAGGTGCACTCGCACCCTCTCACCCCGTCTCAGGCCCCGGCAGGGGCTCCTGTGTCCAGACTGACCTCTCTCACAGAGCTCACGCGTCTCAGTAATGATGTCTGGTCGTGGCCTTCCCTGATCAGCTGCAAGCTCCTGAGGCAGGTCCACATCCCCTTTGTCCACAGGGTCTGTCTGCAGCCTGGGCCCGTGCCCTGGGGGGGATGGGAGGAACTCACCAAACGTTTGAGGAATGCCCAGGTGAGTGGGCTCTACAAGATCAGCTCCCTTCAAATGCTCCCAAGTGGTACTGGCCCCGGGCTCATGCTCCCGGCTTCTCTGGTGGCCGTGGTGAAGAAGGCATGGCAGTGGGCAGCCTTGACCTAAGCTCTGGCCCAACTCCACACGCGTCCCCTCCTGTGGGTTCTGAGCATGCCCAATAGGCGCTCTCATCCCCAGGAGCCCTGTGTCTGCTTGGGAATCACTCTAGCTCATTTACTCTCATAATTCATAATTCAAGCTGGGAGACCTCGAACTGTGTTTTCATTTGGTTCTAGGACCACTGTTCCAACAAGACACCCAGGAAGTGTGTTGTGTTAGAGATACTATCAGCTGAGATGTGTCAGAAACGCAAACAGGTACAGCCGCATTGACAAGCAGGCAGCTTTTCAGCAATGCTGCTCTGAGTCTGCATCTCATAGAAGCTACCGTGAGATAGCGATCCATTTACATTCCACAGACTGGACAGCAGGGTCTAACACAGGTGATCCCTGACACCCACCCTTTGTTTCAGAAAATGGATCACTGTGGCTACAAAACAGCTGGCTCATCCCTTTGAGAGGGTGCAAACTTGAAGAAATGTTTCCACCCTGACAACTTCCGGACTAAAGCTCCAGCCTCTTGGATGTGTTTTCTTGCTATGCACGCGGGCAGGGGTTCTTCCCCTGGGTCTTCCCCTGATGCTGAAGGCAAGCCTGTGTGTGCATGTGCGTTTTTATGAGACAAGGTCAGCCACGCTCACTGGATTCCCAGAGTAGCCATGTTCTCGGCTGCATTAGGGGGAAGGAGAGGAGGAGCAAAAGGACAGAGCCAACCCAGCATCTCCTGGTGGGGGCAGGAGGACATCGCAGGTGCTTCTTGGCTGGAATGAGCAGATGTCACCTGCTCGTCCTCATCGGGAATCGAGCCTCGTCTACACCCGTCTGTGTGTGCAGCTCGGGGGCGTAAGCGAGCGTTCAGCAGCCACGCAGACGCCCGACCCCAGACCCCAGACCCCAAGGCAGCCCCGGGGTCTGGTCAGCACCACCTGCACCACGTCAGATGCTTTGCAGGCGTTCTCAGACGCAGCGCACACGCGAGCTTTGAAGACCCCTGACGCCCAGGCCACACCCAGGCCAGGAGAGTCAGAAGCTCTGGGCTGGGACTTGGGCTTCCAGGTCTTTCATGCTCCCAGGTGACTCCAGCGTGCAGGCAGTGTTGAAACCAGGGTTGCCAACTGTCTTGGTTTGCCCAAGACCCAGAGAATTCTCGGGATTCAGGACCGTCAGTGCTAAAATCGGGACAGTTCAGGCAAACTGGGATGAGACCCACGACTTGGCAGAGAGGAAGCCCTAGATCTGGCCTGCATGGAGAGGATCCTGAGACCCACGTCTTCCTGACAGAACCACCTTTCCATGTCAGCAGGCCCCTGGGGGAGGGAACGCAGCTGGGTGAGCTGGAGGTCAGGGAGGTGAACTCAGTCTCCGGGAGTGTCTCCACCCATGCGTCCAGCTGTGGAGCTGTGTTCCCCGACCGCCTCTCCCATGGTGTGCAAAGCCCTGCCCTGACTCCACACAGGAAGTTACAGCTCGAAGGAAGGGAGCCGCCCAGACCTGGGCTTGTGAGCTTTTGTTCTTAGCCTGTAGGGTGTTATTTCCAGTTCCCTCCTGACCGGTTTACGGCCCCCAGGAGTTTACAATTTGCTGGTGTTCTACCTCCTGATGGCCTCCTTTCTAATTGCAACTTCAGGCTAACCGCTGTCTGTGGTCATGCTACCTGCAGGTGGAGGCCCTGTCATTGATCTTCGTCCGCCTCCTGGGGAAATGCCCTCTCCTCTGCTCTGGGCGGTGACGTGTGCCACGGGAAACAGAAGCCCTCATCCCACTCTCGCACTTTGTTCTAAGACATTCAAATCACTTATTTTAAGCATCTTGGGCTTGTTGCGAGTCCCCTGCCTCCTGCCTTGCCCACACCTCTCCTGCTCCCTCTAAGTGCTGCCCGTGACAGATTCTTCTACAGGCCTACCTCTCACGTCGTCCCCTGCACTGGCTGCTGTGGTTCCCATGCCCCGCAGCATGGCATGTTCGGCCTGCTGATCCCGAACCCCATACTTCTCGGGCCTCATCTCTTCCCACAGCCGTGCCCTGCCACCAAGCCCCTCCCACTGTGGGGTCACAGGTGCGCCCACCCCTGCCTTCCCTGGGGACTGTGTGAGCCTTTACTTCAAATCAAATGCTCCACTGACTTCAAAAGGTGAAGAGGGAGCCTGAGACTCAGTGCCCCCATCTGTGCAGTCGGCCCCCGGGTGGCTGTGAGGGTGAAATGAGGCCCACGGGAAGCCTGAGCATGAGCTGACACAGGCAGGCATGGCCAGTGGGGCCCCGCACCGCCTCCTGCCCTTCGCCCTCCAGACCCACGTCCTCCCTCATCTGCCTGCCTGTGGCCGGGGGCCCTGGCCTCTCCCTGAGCACTGCCCAGGCAGCCCTGATGGACACTGGAGGAGGCTCACCACCCGTGAGGGCCCAGGACTGACATCCGCCGGCCCCCAGGCACTGAGGCTCCTAGCCCCAGCCCGCACTCTCCCTCGTGCTCCCCAACCAGCTTCGTAAGTACACCCTCCTCAGATGACCTAATGCTGAGCCATCTGTTTCCTGACTGCAGCGGCTACTGTTACGTTCTTACAAATGCTTGCCTCAGCTGTGAACTGGCTGACCGCCTGGAGCGGCTCCCTGAAGACTGCCCTCTGCAGCCTGGCCTGCAGACTCCTTGT